CACTCCCAGAGCAATAGCGATTATGCCGATTTATAATTTTATCAGCATATAGGTGAGTTTATTTAGTTTATTCGGTAATGGATTTTCTTCACGGTGTCTATGGTTTATACAAGATTGCAGCATTGATTGTCACTTTATGGTGGTTGGACTTTAGATAAGATTTGTGGACATTATAATTTTTTGCACTTATTATTTTTGATATTTTTTGAGATTATCTGATATGGACATTTTATTTTTTGCACTTATTATTTTTGATTTATATTTTTTTTGATACTATCTGATATTGTATTTTATTAGCGCATTCCTTTAATTACACTCTTCAACAAATTTATATTTTTTGCCAGTTTTGGAAACAAAAGGATCCATTTCTTTATGAATTTCACATTCTGAGTTCAAATATAACAATGAAATTTGTCAATTGGCTCTAGTTTTTCTGTAAACGGAAAGTTTTCTACTATAGGCGTAATGACTACATAATGCACAATAATTATATAGATAGATGTCTTTCCACAAATATAAAGCAAGTGATATTGACTACATAACAAAGCCTAAATGGCATAATATATTGCATAGGATTACCAAGAAAAATTATAGCCATAAGCTAAGTTGAATCATTTTAATACTTAGGATTCTCACTAGTTTTGTCTTCAGTTTGTGTCGGTTTTGCTTCTCTTGGCTTTTCTCTTGTATTCGAGGAAAGGGCTATCTCTTACAACTGCACGTGACTACACGCTTCAGGTTCTTCCTCACTTGACTCAACCACGAAGGATTCTGGTGCTTTAGGAATTGGTAGCCCCTCTCCATGAGGAACTGGACGTATTGCCGATGGAATATTTGGATAGTGCACAGATAACTTTTTCTTCTTATTTAGCCCTTTTACAATTGGAGGCACCATACAAAAGTAACAATTACTAACATGATCTGTTGGCTCTCTCCAAATCATTGGCACAGCGAAAGGCATAGATGCCTTTTTTCCATTCAACCATTGCTCCAGTGCCGTCCCACAAGAATTGCAGCATATATGTGGTGCCCAGCTCTTGTCCTGGTCTCCTATCTTGCAGCCAAAATACAAGTTGTAGGCTTTCTTAATCATTCCTGTTATCCTCCTTTTTTGTGAGATAAAAGTTATTTCACCGCAGATATAGCAGAAATTATCTGCTTTATTCACACAAGTTCGAGGCATTACTGAGTAGCCTATATAAGCATAAAACGAAATGTAAAGACGCTGTCGAACTACAATCAGCTACAGATACTGCAGCTTTTATGCAGTGAAGTGATGCAATTAAAGGCTAATATTGCATCATCTCAGTATACATGCAATTTTCTATTGGTCACCAGTATCAATTGCGCAATATGCAGCTGAAGTTGCATCATAATTTTGAATGGCTTACGTCATTAGATAGGTGAATATATCATGGAAACTAGAGCCAATCAACATTTTTTAGGGTCATTTTCGTTTTCAGCACCCCAAAATTATGTAAGATTATCTAATTTTATGCCCAAAACTTTTTACCTGTTGAACAGTGTTATTTAGTGTTTATACCTGATTTGGATTAAGGTTTGCGGCTGAGTTGAAGATTTTGGCGCTTTTCTTATCATCACTTTATATGGGTAGTGTTGCATGACCGCGCCATAGTCATTCAAAGTGTGAGAGCGCTGAAAGCTTAAAATTGGCCTGGGTAGAAGGGGTAAAAGTGTCCGGTAGGCAAGTGGTTAAAGGAGAAGTAGACCAACACTATTTTGGCCCTACTTCTCCTATGGTCTGGCAGCTGGCTTAGCCTCTTAGTGAGCCACTGAGAGCCCTACCTAGCCGCTCCCGCCCCCTTCATGGCCCATTGCTCCAGTAAGTGCTGGAGGGGTAGGGCAGAGAGCCAGTAACTGGCAGTCACTGGCTCTCTGTTCACTGAAGACTGAGAACTGAGCGATCAGTGGTCTTTGATCACTCAGTTCTCAGTGTAGAGCCATCTAACTGAGTGTGATTTTTTTTTCTTTTCAATTCCAAAACTTCTCTTCTAACTGTAGGAAGAACACAGCACCCAAATGTTATTTGTCATGTCACATTTCCCTGTGTTTGAGGAGCCCTGAAAGTGAATTCAGTACTAACTATCACAAGTGACCATCTTGGGACCCCTTTTTTGAACCTGAATCCATCCTTCCCTCTTGTCCATCCTTCAGGTCTGATCCGCCCTGTGACCTTTTTTTCTAATAATATTGTCAAGTGCCATTTTTACCATCCAGATTGGCAACCTTGGCATACAGACACATAAATAACTATATAATTCATTATTCATAAGGATTATAGTGCTCTGAACTCTAAGGGCTAATTCACACCAGCCACTGTATTACAAGGCAGCAGTTAGTGTGTGTGGTGCAGTCCAGCGGGATCACTACAGTGCCAATGCACAAATATCAGCGCATTGCATTGTTTTTTTTTTTTTTTGTTAAAACTTCATTGAAATGTCACGCCAGCATTTTATTTAGTTCAATTGGCTTTAGTGGATTGCCTTGCACTATGTTGTGCTGAAGAAGGTACTGCATGCAGTACTTTTTTCAGCACACACTGCCTGCACACCACCGCAACGCACAGGAGACATGGCCTTGTATTGCAGTTAGACTGCACAGGAATACAGTAGCTGCCCAATGCACCACACCTGGTGTGAATGGACCCTTGATGTAATTCTCCCACAAAGCTAAATACCAGGATAAAATGGGTTCTACACAAAGAAGAAAAAATTAATAATACATTACCAGCCTATTGGACCGCTGCTCCAATGTAGAGAAAGTGTCTCTGCAAAAAAATGACACTTCTAGAATTGTGGATCTTCTGTGTATTGACATTAAACAACATTATATGAAAATGCACAATATATTCTATTCTATTCTATAATGCTACTTGTGTGGGTAGGCCAGTGGTCGGCAAGCCGCGGCTCGCGAGCCACATGTGGCTCTTTACACATTTTAATGCGGCTCTTCTGTGTGCCGGGCGCCCGCTCCCCTCCCTCCTCTCGGGCGGCCGAGAACTCTGCAGCTAGTCCAGCAATGATTGGCCAGTCTCGCTGCCACTCACATCCTGATAGCTAGTGATTGGCTGTCAGGATGTGTGTAGGCGGGGCAGCGTGACGAACGTGAGGGGAGCTAGGCTCCTCTCACAGTCCGCCCTGAAGACCGGAACGGCGCGGGGAACACGGCGAGAGGAACGCGCGGAGCAAAAGGTAAGTGAATTGACACAGGAGGGACTTGGCTTACTACTTGCTACTTACTTACTACTACTATATGAGGGATGAATTAATATATGAGGGATGAATTACTATATGGGGGATGAATTACTATATGGGGGATGAATTACTATGGGGGATGAATTACTATACATATTACTATATGGGGGATGAATTACTATATGGGGATGAATTACTATATGGGGGATGAATTACTATATGGGGGATGAATTACTATGGGGGATGAATTACTATATGGGGGATGAATTACTATATGGGGGATAAATTACTATATGGGGGATGAATTAATATGGGGGATGAATTACTATATGGGGGATGAATTACTATATGGGGGATGAATTACTATATGGGGGATGAATTACTATATGGGGGATGAATTACTATATGGGGGATGAATTACTATGGGGGATGAATTACTATATGGGGGATGAATTACTATAGAGGGGATGAATTACACTATGGGGGATGAATTACTATGGGGGATGAATTACACTATGGGGGATGAATTACTATATATGGGGGATGAATTACTATGGGGGATGAATTACTATATGGGGGATGAATTACTATATGGGGGAGGAATTACTATGGGGGATGAATTACTATATGGGGGATGAATTACTATAGGGGGGATGAATTACTATAGGGGGGATGAATTACTATATGGGGGATGAATTACTATGGGGGATGAATTACTATGGGGGATGAATTACACTATGGGGGATGAATTACTATAGGGGGGATGAATTACTATGGGGGATGAATTACTATAAAAACTTATTGAAACTAAAAACAGTGTACCATCCTATGTATTTTCAGTTTTTAAAATGTGGCTCTCAAAATAAATTTCAATAGTGGTTTTGGCGAGATTTGGCTCAGTTGAAAAAAAAGGTTGCCCACCACTGGGGTAGGCTATTTTCTTATAAAGGTAAATGTAACTTTTAAGGGTCTCTTTATAAAGCAGTGAATGTGACTTTCACCAAACATTTTCTGGTGGAGAATCAATTACTCCCATTTAAACACCTGGACCTTGAAGATTCTCCTGCAGAGAATGCTTTCTGAATGTCAGATTCACTGCTTTAGAAATAGGCTCCTTTGTGTCTATCTTGCACATTGATGTAAAGGAAAAGGTCAGATTGTTGCTGTGGGTATCAAAACATTTATTTTATTTGAATTTATTATTTCGATTGTGTCAAAATATAGTATTTGACGTCTGAGGTTTGCACTTAGAAAATATGTTGGCTGTGTTTTTTACTACACCGCTGTGTACACTATGGTTTTCTTAATATAAGGAGCTAGATAAAAGCAAATGCTTTATCAACATCTTGTTCTTTTTTTCAGCTACTCACACTTTGAGCAACAGATACATATATTTAAATATGCTATGCAAAGTAAATGATGCCATTTCCTGTTCTCTCCTATATAGGCAGTTGATATGTACAGACATCACAGAAATGCACACATACAAATTAATCACAATAATGAAGACTATATTGAGCCTCTTTATTGCAGTGATATGGTTATCAGGTGAGATTATCCTAAAGGTGAAAGTCCCATAGAGATAAAAGGCTTGATTTACTAAAATCAGAGAGTGCAAAATCTGGTGCAGCTGTGCATAGAAACCAATCAGCTTTCAGGACTTACTGTCAAAGCTTTATTGAACAAACTGAAGTCAGAAGCTGATTGGTTACCATGCACAGCTGCACCAGATTTTGAGTGCACCAGTTTTAGTAAATCTCACCTCAGCAACATTTTTGCTCAGATATGACTTTGTATTGTGCATTTTCAGGTGTCCAGTCTGCAGAACAACTTACCCAGTCAGAGCCAGCTGTGATAAAGCCGGGGAACTCTCACACACTGACCTGTAAAGCGTCTGGATTCACTTTCAGCAGCTACTGGATGTGCTGGGTCAGAGAGATTGGAGGAAAATTACAAGGGCTAGCTGATAATAGCCCAGATGGCAATACCAAGTGCTATCATGATGATTTTAAAGGAAGATTCACAATCTCCAGAGATAATACTAATAACATGTTGTATCTGAAAATGGACAAGATGAAAACTGAAGACACTGCATTGTATTACTGTGCAAGGTACACAGTGATCGAAACAACTCTTACATGGAACAAAAACTAGTCTTTCCTTCTCTCAGTTGATCAGCAGGGGGCAGTAGAAATATCTAAAGTTAAATCCTAGGTACAGTATATAAAAGTGCCCTTATATTCCTCCCAGTCTGTAAGAATGGACATGTACCTAACTCATTTAGTGACTTTATAGGGACGGACAGTGATATAGCAACCACTGTTTGTGATGTACCTTGGCACTTATAACGATCATTTATATGTAAAGGTTTAGGTCCAAAAAAATGGAAAAGGACAAAGATCTGTTTTTCAGACCTGGAAGGAATCAGAGATAATTGGATGTAAAATTGATGCAAGTCCAATTACATCCAGATGCCCATGGAGCTACTGATCAGAACCTCCTGAAAAACTGACAGGCAGACCTGGTACGGCTGCCTGTGTAACCCTAGGTTCACATCTGTGCAGGTGGTGCTGCTTCAGATCTGCACGAAAATCTGTGTAGCCGCATTAGTTCTGATGGCACGCCGCCCGCACTGGAAAATGAAACTGTACTGGGAACCAAGGTTCCTGTGCGGGCTGTGTTTTCAGAAGAAGTTCAGGAACTTCTTCCCTGCGTCACGGGCACAGGAGTCCATCCAAATGAATGGGTTCTCGTGCCCATGCAAATTGCGGTCCTCACGGCCGCATATATGTGAACCAGGAGTGAATGAGACATTAATCTGTCACACTTTACTGTCTTTATCTGTTTATCTCTCTTTAAGTTATATTTGTCCGTAAACAGTACATAGCATCTGCAGCAATAGAGATAGTGGGCATGTGGAGAGAGTAAAGACTGCGGGTGACAGAATGTGACAAATCACGATTTGTTTGTGATAACACATGGTATTCAGGGAAAAAACAATGCAGGGGTAATGAGAGATGTGGGGGTGGAGATGGAGCCTATAATTTACATTCTCTTGTATCCTATTATAATACTGTTGCAAAGAGAGTGATCACACTCATATAATGGGCTTCTATGAAGCTAGTGTGTGAGCAGGTGTTGGGCTGCAGTTTGTTTGCTGACCTGAAGGTGGTACTTCTTCAGAATACCATTGGGGACTAATTTGTCCCCTATTATGTGCTCCAGGCAGCAATCTTGGGGAAGCTGCTATGTCCTATTGGATGCAGATTTTCTGTGAAATCTGGGTAGCCATCTTGACACAGAAGTGCTTACAGTGATTGAAAAACTCTATTTTGTTTAAATTATCATTTAAAAAAGTTTTACTTACCTGATCTGTGCATGGATATTGCAGAGCACAGGCCCTTACCTTCTTTCTGGAATCCCCTGCCAGTACACTCCACTTCTCCCCTTCTGCTTGTGCGCCCATGGCAAATCACTTGCTATGGGGACACACCTGCCAGTGTGTTTCCAAGCCGGACTGTGTGCTTCCATAGACATACACAGCATGGCCTGGTCCCACCCCCCAGCTCTCTCCTCCAGGAATTGACTGACAGCAATAGAGGAACATGCAAGCCTCCAACGAAAGGATCTACGCCACCAAGGTACACATAATGTATATATTAAAGTGGTGACTGGTGAACATTCTCCTAATACACACACATATGTGATTTGCCTTCATTCTCTATCTATTTTTAGTCAACAAGAAAAAAAAGCACAAATTTGTTTAACAAGGGAAGCAGAAGATCAGCAGACCCAAGGGAGGTTGTAAAGGAGGTTGGAAGAAAAATGTATTAGGAGAGGATGTCTTTAATTTCAGCTTAGTAACATTAACAGAAAAAAAAGAACCAAGGTGCCAAATCCTGCTTTAAAATATGTCCCCCAAACCAAAAATAATACATTTAATACTTTCATCTACCTGAAGATGTTTTGGAGGCGATTATTCTACACTCAGCATGGATTAATGTCTGGTTGTTTAGTAATCAGAATGTTTTACTTCTTTATAAAGGATAAAAAGACAAGATATGTAACACTGTGTGCAGGGCCGGTTCTAGACTATTTTGTACCCTAGGCTAGACCAGCTACTTGCGCCCCCCCAAATAAATAAATAAATAATGTTAAAAGCAGTAGAAAATATTAAATCAGCAAATAATGCTGCTACATTTCTTTTAATTTGCAAAAATAAGTGCCATAACATGCCACCACTACCAATATTAAAGACAAAATATATGTTAACAAAATATAAATCAACTGTATTAACTAATCAGACAGAGAAAAAAAAAAAAGAGACAGAGTTACAAAACTTCATAGTGATCAGCAGCCGCCAGCTGGCGGAGTCTGAGAGGAAGGCTGGAAGGAGCAGCAGCTACACTGGCCCCAAACACCCAGTATATCCTCTGTCCTTTTCTTCCTCCCCCTCTGCCGCCCCTCCCATCAGCTGTCGGCGTCCCACACGATCAATCAGCATTCTCTCCCCTCACCCCCACTATTGTCCACCCCCCCTTCTCCTCCTGTCACCTCCATGACCCAACATCCTCCTAGGCTCAGCTCACCTCTGATGGCTTCTGTCGGGTTGCGGCGTCCAGGCAGTGGCTCTCAGTGAGAACAGGCAGCCTCCCAGCATTACACCCCTTCCCTCTCATACACATCGGACCCCAATCATCCTACTCAAAAAGGGTTAACCCTGCAACCAGAGCAAACCCCTGCCTATTGATTGGCTCCATCTGTGTCGAAGGCGGAGCCAGTGCTGGACACGCCACATTCAATCACTAGCTGGCTCCCTGTTACAGCTGGAGGATTGTGTGTGCCAGTGTGTGTACCAGAGATGTATGGACCAATCCTCCGATCAGAGACTGCTGACCACCTGGGGTCCTGGGCTAATGTCATCACTTCCCATCCTAGGGGGAGCCGATACTTCACTGCTACATGAAATAGTGTACTAAATGGTCATGTGTGTGGAAAGGCTGTGAGACAATTGTGCAGAGTAAAGATACCATCATTTCTCATCATTCCCTGTGTATGAAGAGAGGGGGACTCTGCGGAGAAATGAAGGATTCACACAAGAGATCCATAGGCCACAGCGAGAGTTCCGACCTCAGCTGCGCCCAAGTGCCCCTAGGTGGCAGTGCACCCTAGATGGCTGCCTAGTTTGCTAGTGGCAGAACCCGCCCTGGTTGTGTGGTTGATTTACTAAAGGCAAATAGTCTGTGCACTGCAAACGTCAGTGCCCCAATTATCAGTGTAGATGTCCCCTTTCACACTTGCCAGTTATCAGCAGTACTTTCCTCATGCTGTGACTAAATGAGGAAAGGGCTGCGATGACTGGCAAGTGTGTTTACATCATGATCAGCTGATTGGACACAGCTGATCATGTGGTATAGAGCTCTATGATTGGCCCTTTACTGTGACAATGTGATCAATTGTGTCCGAAGGGCACAGCGATCACAGAGAGCTCCAGGTGCATGCGGGGGCACAAGTCTGGGAAGACATCATATGACGCCCTCCCAGAATTGGACGACACACATAGCACAGTGAGCAAGTGGTTAAGGGTCTATTTATAAAGCGTGAATATGACTTTTCACCAACCATTCTCTAGTACAGAATATATCACTGTCATTTAAAGCACATGGACCTGGAAGATTCTCCTGCAGAGAATGTTTTCTGAATGTCAGAATCACTGCTTAATAAATAGACTCCTTAGTGTCCATCTTACATATTGGTGTAGATGAAAAAAATCAGGTTTGTTGCTGTATCAAAAATTTTATTTTATTTGAATTTATTTAATATATGCAGATATAGCACAGGAGATGACCAGAGACTGTGGACACAGTACAGGAGATGACCAGAGACTGTGGACACAGTACAGGAGATGACCAGAGACTGCGGACATACTGCAGGAGATGACCAGAGACTGCGGACATAGTACAGGAGATGACCAGAGACTGCGGACATAGTACAGGAGATAACCAGAGACTGCGGACATAGTACAGGAGATGACCAGAGACTGCGGACATAGTACAGGAAATGATCAGAGACTGCGGACATAGTACAGGAGATGACAGAGACTGTGGACATAGTACAGGAGATGACCAGAGACTGCGGACATAGTACAGGAGATGACTAGAGACTGCGGACATAGTACAGGAGATGACCAGAGACTGTGGACACAGTACAGATGACCAGAGACGGTGGACATAGTACGGGAGATGACCAGAGATTGCGGACAGTACGGGAGATGACCAGAGACTGTGGACAGTATGGGAGATGACCAGAGACTGCGGACATAGTACAGGAAATGATCAGAGACTGCGGACATAGTACAGAAGATGACCAGAGACTGCGGACATAGTACAGGAGATAACCAGAGACTGCGGACATAGTACAGGAGATGACCAGAGACTGCGGACATAGTACAGGAAATGATCAGAGACTGCGGACATAGTACAGAAGATGACCAGAGACTGCGGACATAGTACAGGAGATGACCAGAGACTGCGGACATAGTACAGGAGATGACCAGAGACTGCGGACATAGTACAGGAGATGACCAGAGACTGTGGACACAGTACAGATGACCAGAGAGGACATAGTACGGAGATGACCAGAGATTGCGGACAGTACGGGAGATGACCAGAGACTGTGGACAGTATGGGAGATGACCATAGACTGCAGACATAATACAGGAGATGACCAGAGACTGCAGACATATACAGGAGATGACCAGAGACTGCGGACAAAATACAGGAGATGACCAGAGACTGCGGACATAATACAGGAGATGACCAGAGACTGCGGACACAGTACAGGAGATGACCAGAGACTGCGGACATAGTACAGGAGATGACCAGAGACTGCAGACATAGTACAGGAGATGACCAGAGACTGCGGACATAGTACAGGAGATGACCAGAGACTGCAGATATAGCACAGGAGATGACCAGAGACTGCGGACACAGTACAGGAGATGACCAGAGACTGCGGACATACTGCAGGAGATGACCAGAGACTGCGGAAATAGTACAGGAGATGACCAGAGACTGCGGACATAGTACAGGAGATAACCAGAGACTGCGGACATAGTACAGGAGATGACCAGAGACTGCGACATAGTACAGGAAAAGATCAGAGACTGCGGACATAGTACAGGAGATGACCAGAGACTGCGGACATAGTACAGGAGATGACCAGAGAACTGCGGACATAGTACAAGAGATGACCAGAGACTGTGGACATAGTACAGGAGATGACCAGAGACTGTGGACACAGTACAGATGACCGGAGACGGTTGGACATAGTACGGGAGATGACCAGAGATTGCGGACAGTACGGGAGATGACCAGAGACTGTGGACAGTATGGGGAGATGACCATAGACTGCAGCATAATACAGGAGATGACCAGAGACTGCAGACAAAATACAGGAGATGACCAGAGACTGCGGACAAAATACAGAGATGATCAGAGACTGCGGACATAATACAGGAGATGACCAGAGACTGCGGACACAGTACAGGAGATGACCAGAGACTGCGGACATAGTACAGGAGATGACCAGAGACTGCAGACATAGTACAGGAGATGACCAGAGACTGCAGGACATAGTACAGGAGATGACCAGAGACTGCAGACATAGTACAGGAGATGACCAGAGACTGCGGACACATGTACAGCAGGAGATGACCAGAGACAGCGGACAAAGTACAGGAGTTGACCAGAGACTGCCTACATAGTACAGGGGATGACCGGAGACTGCGGACATAGTACAGGAGATGACCAGAGACTGCGGACATAGTACAGGAGATGACCAGAGACTGTAGATATAGCACAGGAAGATGACCAGAGACTGGGACACAGTACAGGAGATGACCAGAGACTGCGGACATACTGCAGGAGATGACCAGAGACTGCGGACATAGTACAGGAGATTGACCAGAGACGCGGACATAGTACAGGAGATAAACCAGAGACTGCGGACATTAGTACAGGAGATGACAGAGACTGCGGACAATAGTACAGGAGATGACCAGAGACTGTGGACACAGTACAGATGACCAGAGACGGTGGACATAGTACGGGAGATGACCAGAGATTGCGGACAGTACGGGAGATGACCAGAGGACTGTGGACAGTATGGGAGATGACCATAAACTGCAGACATAATACAGGAGATGACCAGAGACTGCAGACAAAATACAGGAGATGACCAGAGACTGCGGACAAAATACAGGAGATGACCAGAGACTGCGGACATAATACAGGAGATGACCAGAGACTGCGGACACAGTACAGAAGATGACCAGAGACTGCGGGACATAGTACAGGAGATGCCCAGAGACTGCAGACATAGTACAGGAGATGACCAGAGACTGCGGACACAGTACAGGAGATGACCAGAGACAGCGGACAAAGTACAGGAGTTGACCAGAGACTGCCTACATAGTACAGGGGATGACGGAGACTGCGGAATAGTACAGGAGATGACCAAGGACTGCGGACATAGTACAGGAGATGACCAGAGACTGCAGATATAGCACAGGAGATGACCAGAGACTGCGGACACAGTACAGGAGATGACCAGAGACTGCGGACATACTGCAGGAGATGACCAGAGACTGCGGACATAGTACAGATGACAAGAGACTGCGGACATAGTACAGGAGATAACCAGAGACTGCGGACATAGTACAGGAGATGACCAGAGACTGCGGACATAGTACAGGAAATGATCAGAGGACTGCGGACATAGTACAGGAGATGACCAGAGACTGCGGACATAGTACAGGAGATGACCAGAGACTGCGGACATAGTACAGGAGATGACCAGAGACTGCAGACATAGTACAGGAGATGAAGAGATCTGTGGACACAGACAGATGACCAGAGACGGTGGACATAGTACGGGAGATGCCAGAGATTGCGGACAGTACGGGAGATGACCAGAGACTGTGGACAGTACATACCATAGACTGCTGACATATACAGGAGATGACAGACTGCAGACAAAAATACAGGAGATGACCGACTTGACTGCGGACAAAATACAGGAGATGACCAGAGAGGCTCTGCGGACATAATACAGGAGATGACCAGAGACTGCGGACACAGTACAGGAGATGACCAGAGACTGCGGACATAGTACAGGAGATGACCAGAGACTGCAGACATAGTACAGGAGATGACCAGAGACTGCGGACACAGTACAGGAGATGACCAGAGACAGCGGACAAAGTACAGGAGTTTGACCAGAGACTGCCTACATAGTACAGGGGATGACCGGAGACTGCGGACATAGTAACAGGGGATGACCGGAGACTGCGGACATGTACAGGAGATGACCAGAGACTGCGGACATAGTACAGGAGATGACAGAGACTGTGGACACAGTACAGATGACCAGAGACAGCGGACACAGTACAGGAGTTGACCAGAGACTGCGTACATAGTACAGGAGATGACCAGAGACTGCGGACATAGTACAGGAGATGACCAGAGACTGCGGACATAGTAAAGGGGGATGACCAGATACTGCAGGAGATGACCAGAGGCTGTGGACACAGTACAGATGACCAGAGACGGCAGACATAGTACAGGAGATGACCAGAGACTGCGGACACAGTACAGGAGATGACCAGAGACTGCTGCGGACATACTGTGGAGATGACCAGAGACTGCGGACATAGTAAAGGAGATGACCAGAGACTGCGGACATAGTACAGGAGATAACCAAAGACTGCGGACATAGTACAGGAGATGACCAGAGACTGCGGACATAGTACAGGAAATGATCAGAGACTGCGGACATAGTACAGGAGATGACCAGAGACTGCGGACATAGTACAGGAGATGACCAGAGACTGCGGACATAGTACAGGAGATGACCAGAGACTGTGGCATAGTACAGGAGATGACCAGAGACTGTGGACACAGTACAGATGACCAGAGACGGTGGACATAGTACGGGAGATGACCAGAGATTGCGGACAGTACGAGGAGATGACCAGAGACTGTGGACAGTATGGGAGATGACCATAGACTGCAGACATAATACAGGAGATGACCAGAGACTGCAGACAAAATACAGGAGATGACCAGAGACTGTGGACAGTAGGGAGATGACCATAGACTGCAGACATAATACAGGAGATGACCAGAGACTGCAGACAAAATACAGGAGATGACCAGAGACTGCAGACAAAATACAGGAGATGACCATAGACTGCAGACATAATACAGGAGATGACCATAAGACTGCAGACATAATACAGGAGATGACCAGAGACTGCAGACAAAATACAGGAGATGACCAGAGACTGCAGACAAAATACAGGAGATGACCAGAGACTGCAGACATAATACAGGAGATGACCAGAGACTGCGGACACAGTACAGGAGATGACCAGAGACTGCAGACATAGTACAGGAGATGACCAAGAGACTGCGGACACAGTACAGGAGATTACCAGAGACAGCGGACAAAGTACAGGAGTTGACCAGAGACTGCGGACACAGTACAGGAGATTACCAGAGACAGCGGACAAAGTACACAGGAGATGACCAGAGACTGCGGACACAGTACAGGAGATTACCAGAGACAGCGGACAAAGTACAGGAGATGACCAGAGACTGCCTACATAGTACAGGGGATGACCAGAGACTGCGGACATAGTACAGGAGATGACCAGAGACTGCGGACATAGTACAGGAGATGACCAGAGACTGTGGACACAGTAACAGATGACCAGAGACAGCGACACAGTACAGGATTTGACCAGAGACTGCGTACATAGTACAGGAGATGACCAGAGACTGCGGACACAGTACATGGGGATGACCAGATACTGCAGGAGATGACCAGAGGCTGTGGACACAGTACAGATGACCAGAGACGGCAGACATTAGTACAGGAGATGACCAGAGACTGCAGACATAGTAAAGGAGATGACCAGAGACTGCAGAAATAGTACAGGAGATGACCAGAGACTGCAGACCTTTGGGGAAGGGGGGGGGGTACCCAAATTTGACAGGTACCCGCTCCCACTTCCGCAGATTTGTCCTCCCCTCCTCCCTCCCCGTAGTCTTCTGGGACACGTGACAGGTTCCCACAAGACTACGGGGCCATTCACAAAGTGCAACGCTTCTCGCGCATGCGCTGTGGGCACCCAGCTGTGAAGCCGCAAGCTGTCACAGCCGGGTGCCCACACTGAAGATGCCAGCGCCAGGGAGAGAAGACGACCGATGAAAGCAGGACACCGCTGGAGCGAGGAACAGGTAGGACGGAGGAGCGGGTTCTTCTGCACAGTAGAGCCCAGCGGCCGGCCCGATATTCTAACACGGCGGTGAAAACGGGGAATACCAGGCCGGGCCGCTCCATATTCACTCCATAAGATGCACAGACATTTCCCCCCATTTTTTGGGGACAAAAAAGTGCGTCTTATGGAGCAAAAATACAATAGTATTTAGCTGACTGACAATGACAACTGAGGTTTGTGTTTAAATAATATGCTGGCGGTTTTTTTCACAACCCCCACTGTGTACACTATAGTTTTCTTCACAGAAAGAACTATAATAATAAAAGCAGAGGGTTTATCAACATCTTGTTGCCTTTCCTGCTAATCACACTTTGATATAAGAACACATCCATATATTTAATATGCTATGCAAAGTAAATGATGCCATTTCCTGTTCTCTCCTATATAGGCAGTTGATATGTACAGACATCACCCAAATGCACACATACAAATTAATCACAATAAGAAGACTCTATTGAGCCTCTTTATTGCAGTGATATGGTTATCAGGTGAGACGATCCTAAAGGTGAACATCTTGTAATAGAGATAAAGTGACATTTTTGCTCAGATATGACATTGTATTGTGTATTTTCAGGTGTCCAGTCCGCAGAACAACTTACCCAGTCAGAGCCAGTGGTGATAAAGCCGGGGAACTCTCACACACTGACCTGTAAAGCGTCTGGATTCACTTTCAGCAGCTACTGGATGAGCTGGGTCAGAGAGATTGGAGGAAAATTACAATGGCTGTGTCGTATCAGTGATGGATCGGGTACCATAAATTATCATGATGATGTTAAAGGAAGATTCACAATCTCCAGAGATAACAGTAATAACATGTTGTATCTGAAAATGGACAAGATGAAAGTTGAAGACACTGCATTGCATTACTGTGCAAGAGACACACTGATCAAAACATTGCTTAGATAGAACAAAAACTCATTATTTCTTCATCAGCAGGTGGCAGTAGAAACAGTTAAATCTTAGACATATAAAGGCAAATATATCCTGCTTATGGTGATAAGTCACATAGTTTAAAATGTTTGCACACATATAACCTATCATGAGTAGCATGTCCAGGGCTTTTGTCCTCAGGGCTTGTTTACACTTGTGCTGTCCTTTAACCTCCCTAGCGGTCTGATTATGTCCATATTTCTGTGCTCAAAGCGGTACATTTTTTTTGCATGGAAAAATATGTATTTTTTTTATTGTAGGCCTGTCATTTTTGGCAATAACTCACTGAAATCTGTCCGAACAAGAGTCTAGTAAACATCCCGGGTATGATAAAATTTGAAACACGAAATCATAAATTATAATTTAATAAATAATAATAAAAAAAAGAATATAATGATAATACATTTAATTCAATAATATAGTCAAACCAAAAACACTGAAATTTGAAATATAGCGCCAAGTTTGCACATCACTGAGCTCAGTCACAAAATCGTTTTCAGTGTCTGATGACGAATTTCCCCACAAATCATTATCACTCAATTCTGCAAGTGGTTCTGATTTACTATCGCTGTTCTTTAGCTGGTCTAAAACCGCTTTTGACCTAAAGAGACGCCTTTTGGACACCATGGACGTTTCTCAGTTTCCAGGCAGACAGAACAGTAAAAATGCAGGCAGGGCACAGGACAAAGCACTAGGGACAAAATGTATGTGAAATGCTTTGATACAGTAATGTTTTACTATGTGATTTTAGTGAATGTCACTTTTTGTCATTTTCAAAGTTCCAGCCATTCCGTCCCCCGTACGTCCCGGACGCTCACAGGGGACGGAACCCAGAAGACAAATGCCGGCATCCACCGGATTACATTGCCACGGACACTGCAGGAGGGACATTGCGGGAGCGCAGGACAAGGTAAATGATCGAGGGATCGCGGAGCAGCGCCGCATGGTAAGCCCGAGTGTAGCTCAGGGTTACCGCTTGTGGTGCTGAAACTTTACCCTGAGCTACACTCGGGAATACCGCCAGGGAGGTTAAGGAGTAAACCATGGTGGATCGTTCTTCAGAGGGCATTTGACAAGCAGTGAGAAGGCATTATGTCACCTCTTCACCACCTGTTTTATCCCCTAAAAACCTGCACTACCTTGCTGCAACATCATGCATTGCAGTCAGTTGAGGAGCCACCGCATCCAGATGAATGTGTAGGCAGGTCTATACTCCCCACTGCAGGTGGCACTTAACCCAGAGCAGAAATGCAGCAGGGGAAGAAAGTCCTAGGGAACTTAGTTTCTCTATGATTTCCTGTGGGTGTATATATATATATATATTTTAAATATATTTGTTTTGTCTCTCCAATCTAAGCATTGAAAGTGTGATCTCTGTAGCTTACAGTTGTGATGAGATAACGATAACTCCAATCTAAGTTGAATACCACAGGCAGTGACTCAATCCAGATGATATCTTGTAGATCTTGTAAAGTTTATTCCATAAACTGAGAGAATCTTACAACAATGAACATCGGATAGGTGATGTGATCTGCTTCATGACATGAGGCTTGAAGCTGAAATGCATTTCTGGGAAAAGGGGGAGGGCTATCTATATAGCATTAACTAAACCAAAGGAAAGGGAGGAGCAGAGACAAAATACAGAGAACACTTAAAGGCATATGACAGTCATGTGAAACATGACAATAATCTTCAGATTTTTTTTAACACATAAAAAAGTAATTTTAACATGTATTTTTACATATAGTTGCAAAATGCACTCCAAAAATGTAGGTTTGTATTTTTAAAGACATACAGTATGTTTGAAATGTATTTTTAAAAAAATATTTTTCATATATTTTGTAATAAAAACACATTTCAACATGCAGTGTGTGTATATATATATATATATATATATATTTATATATATATATATATTTATTGAAATATATTTTTAAATATATTGAATATGGCCAAAATTGTAGCATTTCAAATATGTCAATATACTTGGGAAGAATATTTTTAAAAATATATTTCTTCCATGTGGGTTGGGCATGTGTTATTGGATGCCTGTGCTCTCCCATCGGGCCTGTAGTAAATTGTTGGAATGTTTCAATACATTATGTTCACTACAATCCGCTCCTGTGTGCTCCCTCCACAAATGGGTCATGTTCAGCAGGTGATACTGGCCACTAAGCATGACCCCTCTGGCTCCATCATGAGAAAATCCAACCCTCCCTCCATAATAATAATAATAATAAAAAATTCTCGTGTCACAGCTTTATTTGTGGATTGTCACCTTGCCAGCAACAAATGTGCTTCGTATTTACCGCAGTGGTTGCAAAGGCCTCATCAACAACAAGAACATGAGGCAGATCTGGTCCATCAGATCCAGGAAGCAGTTTATCAGATGGTAGGTTCAAGAGATCCTCCTGCAGTCCTCTGCCCATTGCCGACTCTTGAAAAACTCTTTGAGTCCTAGTGCCTACAGCAGTTAATCTATAGTTGTTGTCACAGATGGACATTAAAACCAAAGAAAAATCTTTTTCATAACTAAAATATCGAGATCCAGAATCAGCTGGAATTTGGATGTGAACATGCATTCCATCAAGGTCCACAATGCAGTTAGGAAAGTTGGTCAACAATGCATCCAGTATTCCTCACCACATGCTCTCATCAGGTGCTGGCATCACCAATGGACACAGATCTTCCCATATGGTTTTACATGTGTTGTGAATAATCTCAGAAATGGTAGCGATTCCAAAAAGAAAATATTGGTTCAGAGATATTTATGTCTGGCCAGTTGCAAAAAGTCTAGGAAGAGATAGTAAGATACATTTTGGAAACAAGGGGCACAATTAATAAAAAATTCATCAATTCTTATGTTTAACCACTTGCTCTCCTGAGGATTTCCTGACAAGGCCATTTTTTGCATTACGGCGCTGCGTTACATTAACTGACAATTGCGTGGGCATGCAACCCTGCACCCAAATGAAATGTATGTCTTTCTCCCATGAATTGAGCTTTCTTTCGGTGGTATTTGATCACCTGTGCATATTTTATTTTTTGTGCTATAAAAAAAAGAATTTTGAGAAAGAAAACAATATTTTTGACTTTTTGCTAATAACCATGTCCAGTAAAAAAATGTAAAAAATAAAATTTTGCCATAAATTTAGACCAAAATGTATTCTGCCCCATGTCTTTGCAAAAAAAAAATCCCAATACGTGTAAATTAATTGGTTTACATGAAAGTTATAGCGTTTACAAATGGCGCTATATATACTGGACTTTTTTTTTTACTAGTAATGGCAGTGATCAGCTACTTATAGCGGGACTGCAGAACCACGGTGGGCATTCTGACACTGGGGGGAACTGACTTGATGTCACTGACATCCCCAGTGACACCAATACAGTGATCAGCGCTAAATAAAAAGCACAGACACCGTACTAATGGCACTGGACAGGAAGTGGTTAACATGAGGGGTGATCAAAGGGTTAACTGTGTGCTGGGAGTGTTCTACCGGGGGGGGGCGTGGGTTGGTGCTTCACTGTAAGCACACTGCTCTGGATGGCTGTGCTGTGCAGGGAGGAGGACTGTTAGTAAACAAAGCAGCCCTCCTCCCCATCAGAGATCCTCGGTAATCACCGGGAGCTGGCGGGTAATCACCGGCTGGGACTCGGTGATTGACAGCAGTGGAAATACAAAATCGTGTATATATGCGCTACCTATCACAGTTTCGGAGGCCCTGAAATGCCAGGATAGCACCAACCCCCCCCCCCCCCCAAATGACCCCTTTTTGGAAAGTAGACACCCCAAGGAATTTGATAAGAAGCATGGTGAGTAGTTTGCAGATCGCGTTTGTTGCCATACATTTTTGAAAGATGAAGAAAGAAAACAAAAACATATTTTTTCTTTTCTTTTTTTATATTTCAAAATCTTGTGAGAAAAAATGAGATTCAAAATACTCACCATGCCTCCTTTTAAATTCCTTGGGGAGTCTACTTTCCAAAAAGGGGTCATTTGGGGAGGCTTGGTGCTATCCTGGCATTTCAGGGCCTCCAAAACTGTGATAGGTAGTGAGGAAGTGAAATGAGGAATTTACGCACCATCAGGCTTTCAAAGTGGTCATTGGATTTCAGGCTCGTTTGTGGCTAGGCTCCCAAAAAGTCTCACACATGTGGTATCCCCATACTTGGTAGAAGTAGCAAAATGTATTTTGGGGTGTAATTCCACATATACCCATGGCTTGTGCGAGAAATATATCATTTAAATGAACCTTGTGGAAAAAAATAAATCTTCCATAGACTCAATATGCCTCTTAGTAGATAGCTTAAGGTGTCTACTTTCCAAAAAGGGGTCATTTGTGGGTGTTTGTACTATCCTGGTTTTTTAGCACCTCAATAAATGTGATAGGCAGTCAGAAAGCAAAAAGCTGTGTAAATTCCATTATCTCTACCATATTTTGTAGTAGCTATAACTTTCACACAAAGCAATCAATATACACTCATTGGGATCTTTTTTAACCAAAAACATGTAGCAGAATACATTTTGGCCTAAATTTATGACGAAATTTTAGTTTTTTTGGATATTTTTAATGACGGAAATGAGAAAATATAGTTTAAAAAAAAAAAAAAATTTTCCAAAACTTTTTTTTTTTATAGCACCAAAAATAAAAGGCGCACAGGTGATCAAATACCACTGAAAGAAAGCTCTATTTATGTGAAAAAAGTACATAAATTTAATTAATGTACCATATTGTATGACCGTGCAATTGTCAGTTAAACTAGTGCAGCGCTGTATAGCAAAAAAATGGCGTAAATTGCAGTATCTATACCATAGTTTGTAGATGCTATAACTTTCACACAAAGCAATCAATATACATTTATTGGGATTTTTTATCAAAAACATGTAGCAGAATACATTTTGGCCTAAATTTATGACTAACTTGAGTTTACTACCGTATTTTTCGCTCCATAAAACGCACTTTTTTCCCCCC